AAATAACTTTGGAAGGCAATTACTCAAAACCATGTTTATCTTGGCTCAAAGAGTACTGTACTTTCGTCCAATTTCAATGAATGACCACTCATTTTAAAGATTACTGTACATACTCAGGTATCTGAAAATACTAATGACTTGAATTTCAATTTTTGCTGCAACTTAGCCATTATGCCACAAAATGCCTCAAGTTTGTATTTCCAGCTCAGTTCTGACTGGCCAGTAGTTGTGTTTTATTGACAACCTGGAAAGGCGCATTGCTCAAATTTCAGATAGTACATCTGTAACACCAATTGTACTGCATTACAAAATGTAAAAATTCCATCAATATTGACTCTGAATCAAAGTATATCTTTAAAGCCAGACACTTAGTGCTCCTAAGGTAATTCAACAGAAGGACGCACATCTCCGCTCTCGAACATAGCGCGTGCGTACAGTCCTTTGATCTTTACTGTGGCATCGACAATCCGATACTAGTACTAGCGAGTACAGCCGTCAATTATTAGTCTATGCATGCCATACGTTTTATGGTGTTAGTTACTATTTTATTAATTTTGGGTACTTCGCAATGTCTGCTACATCTGATTTTTTTTTTACCGTGAGCTTGTTAAATGCTTCTATAAACTGCAATTTAATTTGTGAAAATTGACCAAGAAAATGAAAAGTTATAGCAATTGAAAATTTACGAATTTTATAAAATTTCATGTTCTTATGTAACATTAAACTGTCATTTTGACAATGTTGGACTAAGGTGCACAAAATGAACATTTGAGTAGATACAGAACATTTATTAATTTTTTCTGCGAAGTGAGTCTCATGAACGACAATACATAATATCGGTAAAATTAATGTTGAAATGAAGAATATAATTTCAGTCTACTGTTAGTGCAAAATATCATTAGGCCTTTGTAATCACTGCACGATTATCATGGCAACTAACAAGCGCGTGGGTAATTCGCCACGTACATTGACGGTTTATGGTCTGGTTGCTATGGTTTTTGTGACGTGCATGTAGGGACGCACGTGCGCCTAGAATGTCGATGCCATAACCTTTGATGTCCCGAGATGTGCGTCCTTTTGTTGAATTGCCTTGCTGCTCCTAATGGTCACTGGCCACTGTGACCACGATGCGCACGTTTGGGGGCAATTATATGCATTAGCTAGCTTGTTCATATGTCACTGTTAAGAATATTGATATAAAAACACCAATAATCATTTGATTTTGCCTTTGCCAAACTCTATTAGGTCAAGACAATTTCTGAATACCATTCCCAGGCAAAACAACGTAGTTTCATTGTAAACACGTTGTTTTGCCCTGTAATCTTGTAGTTACGTTGTTTCACCACAGAAAATCACTAGATTTTAAGTTTTGTGCTTAAAGATAGGTGGTGCTATCTTTGAAACGACGCAATTATTGAGACCTGAAATCTTCACAGGTAATTCAGACGTGTTTAATATACTCCCAAATCAAAATGGACAAAAATGCCAGTTACGTTGTTTTGCCTTGGGACGACCGAGGTGGTGTAGAGTCGTCTAGTGCTCACAGGGAGCGAAATTGGATTCATTGTACGATGCAATAAGTGCCCGGCATAATGAGCATTACTTTAACTATTAACCTCATTAGTAAGGTTAAAAAGGTTACAAATTTGAAAAGATAAATGCATAGCATTTAAAGTTAACACAGAGATATCAAACAACAGACAATATTAAACTTTTTATATATATACATATATATACATATACAATCTTAAATTTATCTACAACTTTGTCATTATGGTCAAAGAATTAATGAAGTCTTGGCTTGGTGAGACTTCACCTCAGTCGAAGTGCTAAAAATCTTCACTATAGGTACTATCCGTCAACAGATTAAACATTTTTGGAAGATACTATAATAATATTTCAGCAGGTTGTATCACAACAACATTTCAGAAACTCGTCAGCAGTCTGAGCTAGTAAAGATTCCAAATGACAATTAGCGGAAATTTCTCCACAGAAAAGATAATGTAGAGAATGCAGCCTTTTAAGTTGATGGAAATACTTGGTTCTGCATAATATGCATTCTGGTTCTTAGTAATCCGTAATACTACTAATGTCATAAGCACATCACTTTTTAATGACACTCTCTTGCAGATTCTTCATGTTTCAATTTCTTGATCCTTTGCTCAGGTAGTACAATCACGCACAAAACTGTGGGAATCACTCACGGCAGATAGACAGAATACAGGGGACCTTGTAAGAAAATCTGGAAGCTCTAAATCATTCCAAATATCCAGATATTATACAAGTCAATTATACTCTTCAGTGATAAATTTCTCCTTTCATTAGACAACAACCTCTTCCACATCCAAGACTTTACTCAGAAACAACATTAAAGTCACAGTCTGAATACATTCTGCAATAGTTCTTGTGAAGAATACTTCCAAAGAAAATCCACATGATCCTGGAGATCCTCACCAGTTCTCACTTCACATGCTATATAGTGCATACCCCCTCTCTAAGTAGTAGTACTCACTGGAGAATTCTGGTGGCTAGCATCCATCTTCTTTGTCTCTTGGAGGTGGTCTCCTGCACTGGTCCATGTGCCACTGGATGCAGACTCAAGTTCCATGCTGCCACACTGTCATGAGAGATCCACCCAGTTAGGCAGTTTGCGGCAGTAGTCCATGTGATCAAGTAGCCACCAGAATCTTGTCTGTAGAGGACAAAAGCGCACAGGTGAACACAGAGGCTGAGATCTTCATGCTGGGAACTTGTCTATACTGGGGGAATTCATAATTTTTGTACTTATATCTAAAATCAAACATTCTCTCACTAAATCACAGTTTACAACCAATTTATTTTTTTCATTTCTTTTATAAAAACTTAAGCTCTGTCCAGATTTTCAAATTTTCATTCACAAAAAAACTGTTGTATACCCATACAATCATGACGTACCTATATATGGTCATGGTGTAGTGTCATCATGACCATATTTAGGTATTTGACATGTTTTTGATAGACAGGGCTTTACACTCCAAACAATTGACCATTACCAACTCATTTATAATTAGTGTATTTTCGTTGCTTATATTAGCTCTGTTGTTTTTTTTAATTGTTTCAATGAGAGGCAGAATTATCAATCTTACACTACAAACAATACAAATTATACAACAATATATTTTAATCCACACCAAAAAGAAAGTGATAAAATAAGTTAAGAAAAGGGAAGTCATTTTACTTCAGTGAAATAATTGCATTTGCAATCATCAGGCATAGAACTGTAAATAAGGAATAGTGTCCAAATCGATAATGTTTTACCTCCAGTAGGAATTGAGCATAGTCTATACAACAATCATCATATTTTAATCATAAATTTGAAAGTCCAACTAAAAACATGGATAAAATCTAAATTACACCATTGAGTATACAATAATGTCAGCAACATATAGAACATGATAAATTACAATAGAAACATACGCAATTCAGACAATAATGTTATGCAGCCATGATTGCCATATTTGACTTGTAACCAAGTAGCCTTGGTTTGGTAATACTTCGCAATAACACGTGACGGTTGACCAACAGGGCATAAGAACTGTGCCAGAAAAGAGGTCAGCAGAGACATGTCTGCTAGGACTGCCCAGGCACTCACCAAGAACAAGCCTAATAGTCAGTGGTCAAATATTTATATAGCGCCTTCCACAGAAAACCGTCTCAAGGCGCTTTAAGATATACTCATACTTACCATACCAAATACTACTGTAGAATCACAAACACACTCAAAACAGAAACAATTTTTTTTTTAAGAGATGGAAAAAATAAACCCCAACAATATCAAAGGAGTACAGTACACCACATATATGTCCAGTTGGTAAAACATCCAAACAAATACCAAAGGATTGTAGGGTCATCTGGACAATATATTTTTTCTCCAACAAGAAATAAAAATCTGGTTTATAGTAACCTGTCGGCAGTGTCAAATTCAATTTTGCTTGAACGTCATAAGCCAATTACAGTGCATATGTTAAATAAAGAAAAAACAAAAAAAACTTTTTCTAAAAAAAATCTCCCTTGACTGCTTTCCAATATCACATCCTGCTTAGCAAAAATTTATTGGTTATCATCCTATTGGGTAGATTTCAAAGAAAAATATTTTATACTTAACACTTAAAAACAAATCTCTTGTACCATATGTTCTTACCCACTATTAATGCTTTAAAATCATGTTACTTTCTGAACACTAATGGAATACAGGCAGCTTACTAATTTAGGCATTACCAAACTCGAGTGTCATGTCCAATTCAGTGAAACATAATTCTGTTACAAACTTGAATCAGATGTTTGATCCCCAATTGTGAGCAATAATAATAATTCTCTTCTGGATTTGCCAATTATAACATTAACTCATTCTTAAACTTTCACTCTTCAACCCCAACAACATAAAGTAAACATACCAATAGAAATAGATACAGATAAATTTTAATATTGTTACCAAAAGAAACAGAGGGCTTTTTGGGGTCATGCTGTTAACCTGCTCGTTTGTGACCCTGCTATGACTTTTCCAGTCAACTGATAACGGCAACTAGAATTTATTATACGCGACAATCCGCTAGAGGAAGCTAAAACATGTGTAGCTCCTGTGATTATGGATTCACACGAACGAATGAACGAATGAAGAGGGCCTTCGAGTAATCCTAGATAAGACAACAAAGACTACAATATGCCATTCAGGTTTTTTGAACATTGCCTTTGTGCTATCTGTTGTTATATGTATGAATGTGCCATATTTATAAGCTTTGCTTTCTTTGGTTATGCAACATTGTATGCTTTGCAAGTAAAGTAAAAATTAATTGATGACTACACCGATTACATTTTAAAGTAATTATAAAATAAATAAAATTACAATATCAATTTATTGGACTCAATAATTAAAAAAAATTAAGCATTAAAAGTAAATTAAAAAAATTAAGCATTAAAAGTAAATTAAAAAATATTAATCTATATATAAAATGTACACTTACCCTTGGTATCATGTATGTATGGTCTTTATGCGCATCTCCTTGTTCCGATGAGGTCTCACTGTGCTTTCGTTTACGTGGAGGCCCTATGTACACCATATCATCCTCCTCGCCAGAGTGGGGGTAATACATACTCCGCCGTGATAGCTGAAAAAACAAATAAAACCATGACAAAAAAACAAAAAAAAAATCAGTCATAAGCAAAACAAATCCATAAGGCCATGAAAATATGAAAATTAATAATCAGGAAATAAATGTGATAATAAAAAAAAAATGATCCAATCAAAAAGCCTTTCCCCGTCCCGACACCAGATACATCTAAACACATTTTCCAATATGGACAAAGAATTAACATCTTTACAAGGTGTTGCAAAAAGCCAGGAACTTAACAAACTTAAGTGGCTGCTGCAGAAAGAACTTGAAATTAAAAACATACAAAAAAAAAAAAAGGAAAAAAAGAAAAAAAAAAAAAATTTCATTGCAGACACTAAGCCAAATTACGAAGGTGTCTAAAACTGCTTCCACACAATTAGAATTCGGTTGTTCCTGTTTTCATTAATTGAACAAAAACAGAACATATTGTGCCAACGATGTCAAATTGAATTCCCTGTGATGTATAATTCTGAATGTTGCTTGTTAATACGCTGAGCTTCCTGCTAAGCTTCCCATGGCATCCTGTCTCACAATCAAATTGAATCAAGAAAGTTGTGGTAATAGTCGTACCATACAGTAGTCACACTCCCCGCAATCGTCTTGTCTGTAGCATGCATCACAATCACCGCATCGCCGGTTGGATCGCTGCAATCAAAAACAAGGGAAAAAAACCCAGTTTACATGACATACTTACTGTAAATAGACTGCATCCCAAGTCATTTAAAATTCAGGTTTAATAAACTTTTTTAATTTAATTGTTATTAAAAACTTACTGCAAAAGTTTTTGAATATTTTATATTTGATATCATCTGATATATGGGGTCAAAAAATGTTCAAGAATGTATACGAAATGGTTCTTGACATAATCATATTCATTTGAAATTTTCAGGTAATCCTGATGGGGTTTGGCAAGCACTTATACTAATGTGACAGTCGACAATATTAAGCAGACAATCTAAAATAATTACTAAGTTCCTGTTTCAATAATTAACCCAACAATGTTTCTTTATTAGGACATATTCTCACTCTAATTTAAGATATAATTGTAGTTCCATTTAACAGAGTTAATTGCACAAAAAATGATGTTGTTCATCGTTTAGCTTTTACTTATAATACATTATTATATGAAAAACCTACTACTGTTTTATTCCATTAAAGCTCAAGTCCATTTAAAACCACTTGCATGCATTTAGTTCGAGTTGGGGCGAGTTTTTATTGTTTTTACTTGTGACCGTGTTTCTTTTTTGTGACGTATTTCTATTTATATCTGTTTTATATCTATTTTATATTTATATGTTTAAAATTTTAAGAAATCCTCTTATTGTCATATGATTGCTATTAGGTGTGGCTTTTTAAATAAAGTATAAGGAATAAAACATATGGAAATATTAACTGCTAATATTACCATTATCATTATTACATTTTCAGCAGGATTGAACCTAAGACTTTGAGATTAGAAGGCAAGCACCCTAACCACTTTACCACTCTCTCACATTATGTAAGAAAAGCTCACTATTTCAAGATATTTTACATCAAGCCAATGTGTACATCATGAGTTTACAGTGTCATTTTGTTAACAGTAAGCACAGTCACTGTGTTAAACTCAACACAAATAATAAGAAAAATTTCATAATTACAGGCAACTGAGGCAAGTTGTTCACATATTTGCGCGCTAACTTTGAGTCTTTGCCATCACCACTCCCATCGCTTGACTCCGCTCCGTCCGTCAAATCTTTCTTTTGTTCGTACTCCTTCAAAAGTTTGTCACAGAAACTTGTGTCAATTTTTTCATCAGGTTTTAACTTCTTTGAAGCTTTTTTCTTTTTATCTTTATCCTTTGAGTGCTTCTTTTTCTTTTTATCTTTGTGTTTTTTCTTGTGTTTCTCCTTCCCTTTGTCTCTCTCACGTTCCCTCATTTTAGATTTTTTTTTTACCTTCATCTTTAGCTTATGTTTTATTACATTATTTGCTGGATCTTTTGCTGCAAGAAAATAAACAAAAAGTAAACAGCTGTTCTTGAACATCATCTGCACCTTTCAGAATTTAGCATTTTTATCAAACATTGTTAAATACTGTCCACATACTATTAGGTTTTATGCGACAAATAAATGTGATATGCCCATATTTGGGAGTAACATGACACCATGCCCATTATAGTTTTGATCTCTTATTGGAAATTGATAGTTGATCCCTTCAAGTAGGCAAAGAGCAAAAGTTCAAAGCAAAAAAAAAAAAATCACACCAAAAGTTAAAAATCACCTCAAATCACCCCATGTTATGCCCCCTCACCTAATCATTGAACTTCCCACTTCACCTTCAGCATCCCTTCCCCCCAATTTTAACACTCCTAGATATGCCAACTGTAAAGTTGTTCAAAAATTAGCCGAAAAATTTAACAATTGGTCTTTAAAATATCTTTCAAGTTCTTCTATAGGTCTATTCTAAATATGACAGAAAAATCTATTTCTTAACCAGGGGAGGGACGTGGACACAAGGAGTCGGATGGGCAACTAAATTTTTGTTATAAGTTTTTGTAAACTTATGACGTTTAAAATGTGCTTGCCAACACCATCATACACTGCTTGCTTTCATACGTTTTAATGCGTTACTTGTTACAATGTCGAGCATTAACAAGCATGATTGATTCTGAGCCAAGGGTAATAGACCGGAGCTGCAAAATAGGGGTTTAATATATTTTCTCAGATGGCAAAAAAAAAACTTGCCGTTGGTTTGAATGTATAGTACGAAGTTAGAAATGTATCATACTCTACAAGTATGCCTATTTATTCAAATCAAAATAAGATATAAAAGTTGTTTGGAGTTATGTTTTCATTTTTACAGTATAAATTCATCAATAATTAAAGTATACTTACAACGGCATGGTGGACATGCATACTTTCTAATGGTTTTTGATGACGACTCTTTCAAGTTGACGCAATCCCCATGATACCATTCATTACAATAATCACAACATCTGGGAAAACAAAATCATTAATAATAACTTCACAACTGTGATAAATTAAGAAAAAATACTGTCTGCAAAACTGAAAAGATATGGTAATAATATTTCACAAATTTTGATTTACAATTTACAGTATAGCACACTACTACTTCTTTATGCAACTATTAGCTGTTTTTGGTATTCAAGGGTTATTTTTTTGAAAATCAGAGAATTTGACAAAATTCAGGAGATGGCAATTCAAATTTGGGAGACTCCTATCAAATTGGGAGTGTTGAAACATACTGAATACTTATTGATATTAAGAATGAATTCGAGACAAATTGCAGTTCAAAAAAGTGATAAAGTGTTCTCTGGCTATAGATATAGTTTCATTTGTTTTGCAGTCGCAAGTTTCTGCTTAAAAGGGGTGTCCCTTTAGTATGAGTGTTCCCTTAATAAGGATGTCCCAAATGAGGAGTTCTACTGCATTGTAGCATGATATTAAAATAATATACTATTTAACTACACAGTACATTTGAAAGAAAGCACACGGCAGTCAATATATCTATATGGTTAAACAGGACGTTCCCGACTCACAAATCTGTATCCATGATTATCAACAAAGAACAGAAGTATTCGCAATTACTATGTAATTTTCTTCTATACAAAACGTATCCCAGGGGCCAGATTTATCAAACTAGAAATCAGCTTAAATTCGACCAGTCCATTTTTTAGTCCGATTTATCAATATGGCTTAACTTTAAAATTACTTAAAATTAAAAAGTCGATTGTACGCATGCGCCATCTAAGACGACTTTTACGCTAAGATGTTGCTAATATGGTTTGATAAATTATCTGGAGGTATTTGCTTAGGGACTTTTTTTTTTTACTACTTAAGTCATTTGATTGATAAATCCCGAGCCAGGTCTTGCATTATAATGTTTGGCACATGGAAGGAATTCAGCACCTATAGTCATGTTGTAAGCTGCCTTTTTTTTTCCCCTGGATAATGATTCATCGAAGAAACAAGCTGCAGCTTTTATTAATAAACACAGATTGAGTTTTAAAAACTGCTGGCAACAGTAAATCACATAGTACAGCATGAAACAAATCTGTAATACACGGAAGTGAATGTGCTGACTATGATTTGCACAGAGGAAAGTACCAAACAAATAAAACATTAAAAAATATACTCTGTTTAACAGATAATTCTCCAGAGTCTGTAGCAGATTTAGGATTTAAAGGGGATGGCTAGAAATTAGGTAAACAGATTGTTTAGATGGGGGATGAGAAGGGGGAGAAGACCTTACCCATAATACTGTTGTTTCTTAGAGGCCTGGAAATGCACTTTCCTGCATTCTTAAAGGTATGTTAATGACAATCAGATATTTTTGTCTGTCAGATAATTATAAATTGTGTAATAGTAATAAGTATGCATGATTTTCAAACATACATCTGAACTGATACTGTAGTCTTGATAATTCTGTACTTCTTCAAATTCTCCTGACTATCAAACTAGATTTGATAAAAACATGTGATATGCCTAAATATGGTTATAATGACATCACATCATGACTATATATGGGCATAAACAGTTTTAGTCAAATAACATTTGATAGTTTGGACAGGCTTTAAAATTTGTTTAATTTACTGGTGGGAATTAAGCTTTCTGAATTAAGCTTTTCCCATCTCTTGACAAAAATTTATCTTATTTTAAATTTTAAAAAAACATCTTAATTTTAATATTTAAAATAGAAATAATAGCTACCGGTACTTACATCATGAAACGTGAGGCATCCGTACTCCGACATAAGCAGTATCGTTCTACACTGTTATTATCTTTGATGTTATCTTTGTTGTTATCTTTACTGCTAACTTTGTCCTTTGACCCCTTCTCTATAAAGGTCATCAGGCTAGTGACCTTTGCCTGCCTTTCAGGTAATGTATTGAAGGCCTTGGCAACCTCCTCTTGCTGTTGAAATAAAACATAAATATAATAAAACTTTTAAAATGAAAAAAATTCTTGATAAGATTCAAGGTTTAAAAAAAAAATCTGTAAATCGGCTAAAAAATATAGACCGCATCCCAATAGAAAAACTTACACTACTTTTTATCTAATTATGAGCATTTTTTCAATGAAAGATGAAAGAGAATTTGTTTTGAATTTTAAAGATACTTTTATACTACATTGAACCAAGCTATAATTTATTATCTTAATAATAAATTTAGACATCTATTTCTAAAATATGAGTAAAAGAAATTAATTTTAAAACATTTAAATAACACAGATATATAATGAATTTACTCCTTCTACCTGTAAATAGCCAAATGAATGATTGAGATGAGTACATCTGATCCTTTTGAGATCACTGAGGTGTTTTTCTATATTTGAGCATTTCTTTGTACAGTAATAGTCTAGCAAAATGGTTAGATAATGGAGTACTATACAAACTAAATAAAAATGATAAGCAAAATGATAATGTCTCTTTTCTACTGAATTTTGATTATAAATAATATGCTGTGAGTGAGCTAACTTGATGCGGTATGTATGTATGGTATTATGGTAGCAAAAAGGAATTTATCGCCAATAAACAGTTTCCTGAAAACCCGACAGCGACTGTCGCCGATAGGGTGAGCAATTCTATGGAAACCGAGCTTCAGAAATTCTGGTCATTCCTGAAATTTTTACTGCCATTTTCACTTATATATTGAAGTTTTAAGTAAATTAGTACAAAATGGATTAAACCTTAAATCCAATTCAAGCACACTTAAATGACAAACAGCATTATTATTGGTTGTCAGTACCTATTTATTTTTTTAAAATTCTTGTCACATTTTCAAACATCTTGTTTTTACAGCACATAGAGGTTTTTGGTATTTTACGCTTTTAAATTTAAAACATTTCATGTCGTCAGAAAGGAAGTCACGCCTTTTTCATATCCATTTGACCTACAGTAAAAATAGAATTGCTTTTATTGCATGGAGTATTTTCATTTGGTATCTAAATTAATATAAAGTACACATCTGATTTCATTTGGATATGCAATATGATACCCCATCACCAGATGACTTCAGAGGGATAATTTACTACTGTTACTAAAAAAACATGCAAATTGCTGGAGTTGGGTAGTTTACAGATTTGTGCTTGCTTGCTTTAGTGTGGGAGGCTGTGTCTGGGAATTTTTAGTTACTAACGGAAGACTTTGGACCCCTTTATCCAGAAATCCCGTACCCATGATTATAACAACTAATGTAACTGTATTGTACAGTAGGTGAAAAAAGTAGGTCAGCATGAATCTATGTACTCTACACATTGATGACTCAATTCTATGCGATTGACATCAACAATTGAAAATAAGATCAACTGTTATTACTGTATGCTGTAAGTTGTTGCACGTCTAATCATATTTTTTGCAGCAAAGGTTTGAACGCGGCACTTGCTCTGTCTATTTGTGTTAATTTGAAGTCCGCTATACATTATTCTATTTCAATCTCGTTAGTCTTCAAAATGTTTGATCAATCAGAACTGTCTGACATAAATTAGAACAAAGTGTGATCTTGAATACTATCAGTAGACAGTAAGAATTGTATTGTTAAATACAGCATATTAAAAACAAAGAGTCTCATCAAACATATTTTTGATCCAAGTACAGTATGCCCAGATTTAACAGTGAATGATCGTATTTGTACTGTAGCAAATGGTTTGTTTAGTCAAATAACCAGACAATCAGAGCAATGGCTGATCAAACACTTCTTAGTTATGAAAAACAAATATCTGACAGATTTAAGACTTAAATTAAGTCAATAATTCATTTGTAGAGAGATACTTATTGTCAGCCTGCCACAAAAATATGGCAATGTCTTGTCAGATAGTAAATATTACATCACAGAACATCATGGATGAGCAGACATGATAATAATACTGCACACTGGCTGACAACATGAATCAGTGTCGAGATGAGAATGCTTATCAAAAAGTGAACGCATGATAAAGCACCCTTTTAAAAGAAAGTGAAACAACTATATTCTGGATGTAAAGTGTCTGAAAATAGACTACAGAGGAGTACAGTACTACACAAAGATATTACAGTAATTCAGTATTTCCCCTACAATAAAACTCAGATGGTCACCTACAGTATCAACAAATTGTACCCGTCTTATATTTATAAATTATAGCTTTAAAAAACTACTTGATTAATAATTTTGATAATTTTTTTATCATTCAGTCTACAATTTCGTTGTGATCGCTAATATTTTTGTGTACAGTAATTAAGTTATTTTATGGAACAAAGGTTATAACTTAAGTAGCTGTCATGTGTCAAGGTGTGTTAATAACAAAGTCAACAAGCAATGACTGAAGGCAATTCTGTCATATCGCACTGAGATGATCATTCATCAATTTCTCATCTACCAATCACTCAAGTTATTGGCAACATTGAATGAGACAATCAACTAGTCATTAAGCTACAATAAGGAAATCATAATGATTTTTTATGTACGGTGTTGAGTAACAGCCTTCTGCAGAATCAACATTGATAAGGCCAAAAAAAAATTATTGCATTGGCCACACCCGATCGACCCAAATTTTATGAAATTATGAAGTGTTTTTTTTTTGACGATGAACAATATTTTTTTATGAGCAAATAGGGCTGGAAAAGCCTTGGCGAGGCTAGGGGGCCAAGGCTAGCCTAATTTTGCTGCATGGTACGTGATGCAAATCCAAAATTGTTGTATTATTTGTGAATTTTCAACTTTTTTGGCGTAAACACACTTTTCCTACTGACCTACCCATTTTTTGGATTTTCTAACGTGGCCAACACAAATATTTTTTTTTTGGCCTAATTGAATTGTTTACTTTCTTATTTAATTAAAATTAGAATGATAAATTATTTTCTTTAGCCAAAAAATAGGCCTACATTAATTGTTATTGTTTTTAGTATTTCTTTATCTTTAAGAATTGTAATAAGTCCACATTCAGTTCAGACTTTTTACAGTATTTAGATTTACCAGAGATTTACATAACGTCTCACAGCAAACATGACAGTGTACATTAGTTTTTTTACCACCTCCATTAAAATGCCATGAAATATGTTAAATTTAGACGGGCTGGATTGGTACCCAGGAAAATTTAGCCACCACGAAGGAGTATTGTGACCTGAAGAAGAGTGGGCCATGGCATTTATGCTTCATGACAGCCCAAGAATAAAACAAATCAAGATGGAGGATTTAATTTAATTTTAAAATTAAATTCCTCCATAATCGGATGTAGGTAATATATTACACTGTAAGCCCATCTGCATTGCCAAGTTAAAAATATAATGTTGTCAAAAAAAAAAAAAAAAAAAACATCTATGGAAAACAAATAAAATAGCTTACGTAAAAGCATTTCGAATGAAAATTGAAAAAAAATAAGTCTAAGCATACTGTTATACCCTTAAATTTTAAACAAAGTTGTAAATTTACATATGACTAGGCTTTATCTTTTCCAACAAAACAAATTTGAGACTGTCACTAAATTTTAAATCATCAGATTGGTTTGTTCCTGAATTTGGAATTCCGTGGGAGTGTCACTTAGGACTGGGATATGGCGACAGGAACTCATTTTTTTTCTTCATTTCCTTTTTTAACTTTCCTTGTTTTATGTTTTTATCGTGCACAATTTGACTTCAAACTATGCGGTGGCGTTTCCTCTGAGGCTGAATTGCTTATCGAGGGTGTAACTATTATTATCTACTGATACACTATGAGCTGGGAACTTGTTCATTTTATATTTTAGTTACTTCTCTGCGCTGGCTAAATATTAATAATAATAATCAAAGCCCTCTGATTATCAAAATGGTAATTTCTAAATTCCTTCAAATCATTTGTATCTTAATTTAACACAACTTCCAAGTTATTAAATTTTACTTCCTGAGCTGGCCTTAAGCAGTTGAACATACAATATATATCATAAATCTATAAATATTTTAAGATTATATAAAGATAACATAATATGTGTCCCTTCAAATTCATAATTCAAACTCTGTCAATTTGAGATGAAAATAGCTAAAAAATTGGATATGGAAATGGATACAAATTTTAGTTCTTGGTATTTTTATCCCAACTGGTGTAATAATGTAGCCCACTCCCGGAATAAAGTCAATTACAGTGGTAGCCCTACTGTAAAATTCAAAACATTTTCAGAATTGTGCTTGTGATTAACGATGCTGAATGCCATGTACAAAAATTACATTGAAATTTATCATTAAATATACTTCCTTGGCTACAATACCTACTTTTGCCATCAAAACAACCCTAGGTAGGCAAGACTCTGCGAGACCTAGGCTAAAAAAATCTAATACACAATTATAGGTTCAAAATATGTGTTCATGTATAAGTCCATAATTATACTGTACCAACATGACGCGATTTTGTGTTGAAGGAGGTGGACTTATTCTAAAGAAAGTATAGATGACATAAAATACTTTTTATTTTATCATTTTTTCTTTTTTTCTTTTTTATTAGGTCAAATCATGATTCTCATGTTTAATAATTAAAACGCACCTTCATGACCAAATACCCACCCAAATGCTATTAAGTCCAAATAACTAAAATTACTAGTTCCTCGTCCCCTCGCGTATTCATTTTCTCTGCCTCACTATTTTTTTCTTTTCTTTTTTTTTTATTTCCTTTATTTTACCAAATGTACGCAAATCTGGCTAACTCACAGTAAAATTCCTCTCTCGACCATTTGTGAGGTCTCACCACGAAATGAGAAGCGTCGTTGGTGAAATCATATTGAGATATTCACCAAAATATGTCAAAGGCAACATTTTTACAAAATTTTGATTTTAATGTTTTTGAATAACTTGATACTTATGTTTTATGATTGTGTACTTTTTAAGTGAATTTTCTTACTAAAACAGTGTTGTCTTCGCTTATTCTGTAATTCTAGTCCTATTATTTGTACAGGTTAGTTTACCTTTGAGGCCGATTTTCTCAAAACCTGGTTCTCATACACCTAAACTTTAAATGCTAACATTTCTGGATCTATTTTGCCTAGGGAAGCCATTCAAAGATCAAATTAAAGCTTATAATGTGATCTACCAAAATGTAATATTAACTCATTTTTTGATTCTCTAACGATGAGACTCATTTTGTAGTGAGACCTCACATTTGTGTTTGGGGATACATATAGTATGAATCATGTCTAGTGCTTCTATTTGGTAAAAAAGTGAGAAAGTAGTAGCTGTTTCTTATCCACTATCTTGGATTTGGAGTAAAAAAAGTACCCTCATTTTCTCCTTTTCGCCAAATAGTAGGACGAGAAAATATTTTTTTTTAACTTGGCCTAAACAAAAAAAATATCTATGTCAGTAGTCAATAAATAATGTTTATCATTGAGCTATTCTGACTGTTCAATTTAATCTTACTAATTGTTTATTAATAAATAAACACCACAAAATTGGCACATTAACAATCATTTTAAAAGCAGCTAATTTATTTAATGATTCAAAGGCCATGACATTAAGCATAAAACAAAAGATTTTGCTGCGAAATGGATATTGAAGTTCAAAATTTGGCTATGGACTTCTTAAAATCTACATCATGAGCAGAAAATGGCAACTGAAATGCATACATTGGTGATAATTAAGTACAATACAATAGGCACAGTGCCTCTTTGCTCAAACTTACATCACTGTCAGAGGAAAAGTACACAAACTGTAAGGGAAAGAAAGTTAATCGGTTGTTTGCTTTTAATTATAACTGTTGATGATAACTTACGATTTTTGTGATGTGATGTTTCCAAATGGTGGCTTTGCCAGCTTCAAAGTCATAAAATATCACAGATTACATAATAAAAAATACATTTCAGATATGAGACTTTATTCAAGTCAGGCTCTGAAGGGAAACTTTTCTTGATATGTTGTTCTGTATAACTAATTTTTCTAAGACACAAAAAAACATATTTGACAAAAAAACTTGGGAACGGTAAATGATACAGAATATTTAAAGTTGGGGAAAAGGTGGGTGATTATGTCCTCTTTTCCCCCCGCTTTTAAATATTCAAAACTATGTATCTCAAAAAAAAACCATTCCTAAGTTTTTCGTCAAATATGCGTTTGTGTCTTCAGTTGTAAAACTGTAACAAGAAACATTTTTCCTCCGCAGCCTGATTCCAACCTAAGGCAAAGTTAATAAAAATACCCTAATATTTCTTATTTCAAATTTCAATTTGAAATTGAACCGTATAGCTGGCCCAGTGGAGACAATCACAGTACAATGCTAGTACCAACGCAATGGATACGTTGTACATTATCCCATCTATCCTCTCATGAAAGGTTTATGTGCAGTATTTAAGAGGTTGAAACAATTAAGTCAGACACCAGAGGGGGGAGGGGAATTATATGTTGTAGAACTAATTTTTCTATGACAAATACACAGTTAAAAATGAGGAAAAGGGGCGTAACCACCCAGTTTATAAATGTTTAAAAATCTGTATCTCATTTAACCGTTTTTTGTCAAGCAACTCCTTTGAGTCTTAGAAAAAGAGTTCTACAACCTATCAAACACTTTTTTTTCCCTCTGGAAACTGATTTAAAAATCTAATGCTAGCTGGGTTTGAACCCAAGTTTAGCCTAATGCTCAAAAGTGAAGCCTGCTTCTTCCTTTACTGATTATCTCTTTCTTTACTTAATAAAAAAAATATTTACCGTTTTAACATTACAATCAGCACTGTTATAAGCACTGTTAAGATGAACACTGTTAAGATATAAGCACTGTTAAGATGAACATTTTTTGACCTCAAACTATGTATTGGCAAGTCAGTCTGACCAAAACATCCAGTTTGAATATCCTGTGGTACATCCTTCTTGGTAAACTTACTAAATCTGAGTGGTACTGCAAATTTAGTCGAGTGAATCATACCCAGGAAGAATAACCAGAACTGTTTTCCCAGAGGAGAAAAGCTGTGCAGTGTTATTGTGCATAAAAACACTTTACTGCACATATTTGTGCCCTAATTCTTCATTTATATTATTTTGAATAGGCCTACTACAATTTTTCATGAAGTCTCATTAGTGCACCTTAGTTACATTTAGTTTAATCTAATCTCAGTAATAATGTCTATTATTATTATTTATTGAAGTGTGAAGAGTGCCAATATAAAGTTGATGTACTAAGACTACTGTAGGCCTAGGCCTAAGTAAGCTAGGCCTAGGCATCATAGATAGATAGGCCTATTTTATTTTACTAGGCCCTGCTAGGCCTAAGTTTTAGTTCATATTTATGTATTGTTTCATTTTCAAAAAGTAGAATGAGTTTTTTTTGTTTTTTTTAATGCAAACCAACTATTTTAATTATTGTATTTTCATTAATTACAATACGTCCACAAATCAAGATCATTTAATTATTTTTCTATTTAAAAACTAGCCTTTTGACTTAATCTTCTTAAAAAATTAATTTATTGATATTGTTTAGGTTGGTATTTAGGCAAAATAATTAATAATCAAGAACAATACCAGGCAAGTTGTTTAAAATTTGTAAAGTAAAATGCTAGGCCAATAAACATTGAGCGACATCAAGTATGACACGAAATAACCAGGTCAGCCTCCTAGGAGTTAGCGGTATTTTATTGCGCAGACTCGTCAATTCACATACGAAGAGGGCCTAGAAAAAATAACCAACTAACGCTGGATATATTTCATTATAAACCAACAAAATTGTATTGCATTAAACATCAAAATATGTTAATAGACTTACAGATTTACTTGCTGAGTCGCTATCACTCATTTTAAACTAAATTCAGGTAAATTTTACATAAAACTTCAACAACTAACGCGAAAAACAAGACGCCATTTCAACCAACTTTGACCTTAATTTTGCATAATTATAAACGAACCGTATTTGCCTGATGTTGTTTTAACATGTTGTTAAAATAAATAAAAGTAAAATTATTGACTATTTTTATTATTCTAAAAATAATACCTAAAATAATGCTTATATATTATATTTCAAATTTTAAAACGGTTTATTAAATACATTCTATTCATTTCCTCAAAAAATATATCTCTTAATTTCAGATATAATTGTTCGATCTAGTTCCCGTATTCCATATCGTCTCGGGTTGATATGGTCTGTAAAAAGAGTGACTGAATCGGGAACCAACAAACCCTGAACTTAACCCTGAGTTGCTAAAAACAAGATGGCGACTTCACTCGTAAAGCATGCGAAGTTGTTTTGTAGATTGCATACAGAAATATATTCATCAAATGTAATCTTTGAATCTATTAAACCTCTAAGAAAGATTTGTAAGTGAATGCGTAATGGTAAAATGCATATTATACGATTGTTAAAATTAGTTAAAGCCTACCTAGGCCTACTAGGGGGCTAGGCCTAGCCTCTAGCTACTGTAGGTAGGCCCGGCCTTAGGCCGCTTTCCATGCCTGACTGAGGCTAGGTAGGCCTAGTAGTAGTACGACCTACCTACGACGGCCTACCTAGAGGCCTACACTCAGTCCCAGTCAGGCCTGGTGGCCGTGTCTGACTGACTGAGCGAGACCGTCTGTGTGGTTGAATGAAACATGCTGAAATTTGAGTACCATCCCATCCATAGTATATAGGCCGGTATTCTATAGGCCTAGGCCTATCATAATAATAACATAGCAGCTGATCAGTGATTGCGTTTCTCGCACACAATTTTAAATAATTTATTGTGCAGTTTTCTGCAAATTCTTATAATTATATAATATTTTAAAAATGTATCCCACATGCAAAAGGTACTCTATATAAAGTGGAGCCTCTTGATGCCAATGGCTAGACTTTCCTTGTCTCAAGAAGTTACTCAATTCTCGTTAATTTTTAAAATGTATTTACACGTTGTTGACTTTATAATTTAAATATTTTTTTTTGCAATGGTAGGTCATAACTACCCATGCCCAGTATCTGTCAATCAAACGCTAGCAATCCGAAAATTCAGCAGCCATGCTAAGCTAGAACATGGTGAAGAACCAGTCCTGAGGCCATCGTGGAAGTTAATGGGAGCTGTCTGTCTTGAGCGGCCGCCTATAGTTGCCACAGAGATGAATGCTATTGAACAAAACTACAAAGATATGGTACAGTCACTTGAGTTTGAGAATAGTGTATTATCCGATCATGAAATTCAATTGAAATCAGAGAGGTTTGTATCTACACTTTAGAAAAACGTATTTATTTAGAAATTATATTTCACTAGAAAAAAGTATATTCGAATAAACACCATGCTTTGAACAAAAACCTCCTCGAATAAATGCCTCCCTTGAATAAACGCCCTGTGGCGTTTATTTTTTATTTCAATAAACGCCCCTCTCCCCCTCCCAAATTCAATTGAAATCAGAGAGGTTTGTATCTACACTTTAGAAAAAAGTATTTATCCAAGTATGGTACAGGTCTCTCTCTAATTAAGGACCACAGTAGGTGCTTATTTGGGACCACATGAGGTGGTCTTCAAAGAACCACACTTTTTCCATCTTTAAGAAAGTATAATACATACTCCAAGGATTCAATATTTCGACATTAATTATGTCATCATCAGGATGATTAATAATTAATGTCGAAATATTGAATCCCAACACGATGGCGTGTATTTCAATACTTGGAGTATGTATTATACTTTCTTATCTGAGATTAATCAGTGGACCTTTCGGTTTTCCATCTTTTCATCCAGATTTTAAATATTCTAAAATCTGTATCTCATTAACTGCACTACCAACTTTTTAGTCAAACACCCAAACACATCAAGACATTTCATCCCTGTGGAGCCTGGAATTGGAGGGAGGCCTGTAATTTCAATTGTTTTCATCCTTCTTTAGACAGAAGATGGAACAGAAACAAAGAGGCGAGATTGATGAAGATGAGGATTCTGGTAATTTACTGACTGCTCAGGATATTGAAGATTTGGCTGCAGAAGAACTAAATAAATTCACGACGGCAAATATCACAACAGGTGACAAATATGCAAATGTTTCTTATTAATTCAAACTATTTTAAATTTTAAGTTTATTTCAGTATTCATGTTGTAAGTGAAGCAAAGTGTTGACCACTTTGGAAGCTGAAAATTTTGAGTAGGGTCGGAAGTTCAGCTTTGTTTTAAAAGATTGTCATTTGGAAGTCGTCTCGGAATTAGGAGTCTCTGTATATTATTTTATTTGTACAGTACTTCTCGCATCTTTAAATTATTAAGCAATATAAAGGTGTATTTTTAAAGAAAAGATTGTATTAATTACACGCACCTCATTTTTGATTACCTCGTTTTTAATTGTCTAGTTATAACTTTGATTTTAATCTGATTGGTCGGTTTTTATTTGCTTTCTGTTATACTTCTGTAAATATTGTAAACATATGGATGGGTGAGATTTTCTCATCAGTATTCTTGAAAATGATAAATAGATCGAAACGTTAAATCTCAAAATGTCTGTCTCTTTTCGGAGTTACTGTCTCTTTGTTGATTTTGTTGTATTATTTATGCATCTATTAATTAGTATAGAATTTTTCCATTGTTATTTTAAAAACAATAACTTATTTCAATATACTACAATAGGAGCAGTATCATTAAATTTAATACGACATGGGGGCAGGCTTGCCATGCCAAAACCACAATCAGTGATCAAAAAAAAGAAAATTGACTACTTACTATTGCCAAAGTATTACAGCTTCTCTACTCAAGTATACAATACTGTCACATTCTAATGCTAATAATTACTCAGTTTAACATTCAGTGATAGTACAGTAGTTTAGTGCTTTAGTGCAACAATTGTGTTTTATTAAATTTCAGAGGCAGATAAAATAGGGGACAAGAGTACTTCACATCGCAAGTTAAGTGAAAATTTAATTCTGTTGATAAGAAAGGATGTTGGGAAGCAGAAGGTGTGGATGTTGCCACATATGGAGCATGTAGAAGGGGAATCGTTACGCCAGGTGAGATGGGTAACCAGGGCCTTCAAAGAGGGGCCTGTGGGTGCTGTTTAACTGCTGGAATTAGGAGCCACCTAGGGGAGTTACAAGAGTGAAAGTTGCGAGTCTTGAGCTGTACAATCATTCATCCAAGATAAATAATAAAGAAGTAAATCCTTGCCGAATCACAGGGCACATAGGGCTGGAGCTTATCTTCAGTTTCAGGTACCATGACACGGATGAGAACGTAATGGTTCTTGTGAGTTGGACGCTAGTCCACCACTGGTTACTCTCACACATTGAAGCAAGGTGGATACAGTACTTTGCTCAAGGACACAAGCGAAATGCACAGTGGGCAGACCCTGAATATTCCTTTAAATAATTTTTTACCTATTTTTTCTGATGGCTTAGGCACCAGTGCATTTTCCTGGCTGTGTTTAAACCCTCAAGTGCTACTGAGGGTAGTTATATCTAAAATAAATAAATAAAAAACATTTAAAATTTAAAAAATAACTCCTCAATTAAATTGCCATTAAAAATTGAAAAATGTAATTGCACAAGTTGAACTTTATTAATATAAAAATTATTGTCAATCACTGTTATAATTATAATCATTGCAAAATAATCATTGCAAATTATCGTTTACAGACTGATTATTTTAAATATTTGGATTAAAAAAAATCAATAATTCCTCAAAGAAATTGCCATCAATATTAACATTAAAAATTCAAAAATATAATTGCAAAAGTTGAACTTGCCTAAGTCAAATCCAAAATGGCATTAAAAATTGTTTTAAAGTTTGACTTGCAGATTGTTAATATTAATACTGTAATTGAAAAAAAAATAATAATTTGGCATGTAAAATAAGATGAATAATTTCTTTCGGTAAAGTCGACTTAGTTAAGTTTAACTGTATTTTAAATGAGTAAAACAATTACAAATATAAATGTACTGAAATTGTTTTACTTGTTTCTTCTTAGACTGCAGAAAGAGCAGCGTTACAGGTTGGATCTGGTGCTAAAGTCACGTTTTTTGGCAACGCGCCCATCGGCTTCTACAAGTATAAATTTCCAAAAGAAGTGAAAGTTCAAACAGGTGCAATAGGTGCAAAGGTATGGTATCTATATAATAAGAGTGAATTTAAAGGATGGAAAAATGGGTTAATAAGGGTGGGTGAAGGGCCATGAAATTAGCTTTAGACTGGCTGGAAAACTTGAAGGATGGGTGGCCCCGTCCACCATCCCTACATCCCTGTATGTTGACAGTACAGTAGGACCTCGATTTTACGTACGGTAGGGGACCGGAGGGTGTATGTAAATAAGGGTTCGTAAATTTGTGGTGGCATTTAACCTGATACGTACGCAACACTCAATAAGCATGTTTTATAAACGAACGATGTTACTAGGCCTAGGCATCAATTTACAATGTCTAGTGTAATAATTCATTATTTTGAGCACAGACGGCAGGTGTTAATCTCGCTCAGTTCATGTAGTTTTAGAATAGCAGTAACATTGTATCACATTTAACATATAAAAATATATGCATTGTTCTTTTGTAGGTGTTTTTCTTCAGAGCCAAAGTCCTGCAAGGGCAGGTGAGCATACACAAGGAAGCAGTAGATGAGCATGTGTGGGTCAGTAAAGAGGAGATGAAGGACTATCTAGTACCGGCCTACCTAGAATCTCTCCTTAAATTTATTAGGTAATATCGACTCTCTGGAATCGACTGTACATAAACAAAATATGCATTAAAGATTGGGTGGACTGAAACATTTTGTTGTCTCGAGAATATTTTCTTCTTGAATTGAAGGCCAACTTCATATACTCTAAGGCTCCGGCCCGAAGTAACAGGGGCGCTGTGAGATCTGGCCAGTTATACTGGGGTAGCCCCCTACTTATCTCAAAGGATGTACTAGGTTCTTTATAGTACACTTGAGGAAATTGTGTACACTGCGTCGACAGTTTACAGTCTTTATCCACCACCAGAACCATAGGCTGCAGCACACCAGCCTGGTAATCAAACCTTACACCTAAACTAATGAAAAACTACATTGAATCAAATTTGCAGGCAAAATAGCATTTTATATTCCAGAGGGCGCTATATACTGTACATGGTGTTGAGCTGATAACATAATTTATTTATTAATTTAAATCTGTCACCCTTGCCAGGCACATGAACAATTTAGTATTTTTGCAGGTCCTTCAAATTTTGTAATCAAGATTATAACCTGCACAACAGTTCTTCCCAAGTTATTCTATGATATGATTCAGTGTAGTTTTTCATTAATTCTAAAACTTCTTATTTTAATTGATGATTATGCTGTTACTCAATGAATCAAAATAAAGATGATGGTTTACATACAAAAAATTCAATGTCCCCTTCCCTTTTTTTTATTATTTAGTCCTAATTTTTTTAAACAATAACGAAATATTTATTTTAATCATTATTAAAGAATAACAAGGGTGACAAATACTACTTTGCTTCAAATTATTATAAAGTTATAAAGTATATGATAACGAAGAAATACCTTGTTGCTATTTGATCATTTATTTCTGCGTTTTGTCAAAAAACGATTTTTAATAGCTTATTTTGAGCCATTTCGGCTTCGAAGCTCCGCCTACTGAAGTTAACCTAAAGTTCACCTTTAACTGAAGTGACGCGCACTCGGTCCTCTGTTTGTTTTGACAGCCTCGATGACGTATTGTATAGCCTATCGCATTGACATAAACGACCATAGAAAGGGTCTTTTGTTACCAAGCAATGCCTTGTTGTGTGGCTGTATCAACAACCATTCAAACGATTTTACCAAGCATCAGTTCCAAAAAGACGAAATTTTAATAAAAAATGTACCGAAGCTGTATACACTTCCAGGCTCCATACATTCAGTGTTGTGCAGCGAGCATTTATCAGTCGATGACTTTGAGTCAAGAAGTGTACCGGCAAAACAAGCATTGAAGTTGTATGGCTGCAAAAAGGAAAAAAAAGAAGTACTGTAATCTCAACACTTTAAAAAACCTATTCGACCAGAGCGGTTGATGGGCAACCAGGACAGTAAACAAAAATCTACAGCCTACAAAAAGAGAGAGAGAGGTCCAGGGCAGGGTAGGCCTAGGTTTGTTTTCCTTTCACAAATTTTGCGAGTACTATGTTTTTTGAAAGAAGCTGGGTCTCCCTCCCTCAAATTTTCGGTCGTATAAATAACACTTAATGACTTTACTCTCTAACATAATGTTGTAACGTAAAATGATTAATTTGTATTCGTCGTGTTTTTCAAAATAAAAAACACAATAGCATTGCCTAGGCAAGCAGAGAATATGTAGTACTGAGTCTAGTACTAAGTAGGCCTACACTGTAGCCTACAGTAGGAATGTGTATGCGCATGACTAGGGAGAGGAGTGTACTTGCCTACTACTACAGTACTAGGCTAGTACTATTTAAAACTTGCGCCTAGCCTAATAGTACTGGTTTGTCTACCAACACCATTTGCATGATAATCTTGTTTAGTTATTGGTGTAGCCTGTGTCAATTTAGATATTATATATCCTCAACTGGTTTTATTAATCATATCACTTTATCACAAACTTATGTAAACACAAGGGTGACAAGAACAATCATCTCTGATTGAACATGTTTCATCGTGAATAAAGTTTGAATGACCTATAATTAAAATAATTTTATAAATATTTAAAAATGATAAATAAAAATCTTTCTATTGTTTCCACAGGACTTTGTTAGCTGCAATGCATTACAATGAGAACTGTGGAAGAATGGTCAATCTATGGTAAGTAATTTCTTTGCAACAAAATACACATAATAATTGTATATATTTCTGTTTCCTTTAATGATTGTTACTTTTGTTTTACTTTGTATAATTTGTATTTAAGTCAAAACGATCTTGTGAAAAACACATTTTATGCGACAAGTTTTTCCGTTTGTAAATAAAGTTATTATTACAGTATATTGTATTGTACTTTAAAATAAAATAACACAGCAATGCGCTAAATTTGAACGTGTCTCTTTATTAAAACAATAAAACATTTAATATTTCGCAGACTTTGTGGACACTTTTGGATCTAGTGATAAGTTGCTGTAGTATTGATGTGTGCAACCATACACAGATGCCTCACCATATCTTTGTAGCAGTTATGAACGACAGGATAAAACAGAGGATATTTTTGCTGAATAACTGCCTAACTTATGATAAACTTGGATACTTGAACCCTGTGTATTTATTAACTTAAATTTTCTTATTTGAACAGCAGCACATGAAGGGATAAACATATGATCAGTCTTGCCGATATATCCGTGCATCTACTTTACAAAGTTTATGTAGGTGGTGTTTCCGAATTTCCTGGAAAAAAATAACATATTTAAGCAAAGATAATGTATAGATCTGTTATTTTTTTTTGGTTTTTTTTTTTGGGGGGGGGGAGGTCGGGTTGCAAACCTTAGGGCCTGTACCCCTGGATGCATAGTAAAAATGTAAAATACTAGGCCTAGGTTTTATTTTTGTATGTACAGTATTCGTAAATAAGTGCATTTTATAAGACTTATATCAACTATAAAAGAGGCTGTACTATGGAATCTTTTCTATAGTAAAACTCAAAGGCTCGTTTAAAAATGACTTTTTTAAACTGTTTTTACTAACTTGAACATATACAGTGCACATTAACATATACAGTATATTGGTTATAGAGCCTAACTTACTTGTGTCCTGATTTTTTTTTTTCCTGGAACAAGAAATTTGTGGTTGTTTGTCTTCCTGCCATCTGTAGTGCCAATCAATATCATCTGAACAAACTGTAGCATGAAATCCGGAATGAGATGTAGTTTACCGGTGATTTCAGCATCTCTATCTCTGGTTCCAACAACATCTGTGACCTCATGACAACACAGGCATCCATTTGCAGTCTTCATCTTCTTGCATTGCCCACAACAGCACCTAAAATGTTAAAATTGGATATTTAGAGGACAGTAAAGTAGTATACGCTATTCAGAGTACTGCCTTACAACAAACAAAACGTAACACAAAATCATCATTTGTGTTGGTAAGATCGACGATGTATTTTTAATTCCTAGCCAGGCCAAATTCAGAGAACAGTAGCAACAACCCGCCGCCACGATTGATGCTTCCTTCCGTGGCGGTCTCCCACTTTGTACAGAGTATTATAAAACACGTAGGGGAGCCTAGGTCTATTTTTTAGCAAACAAAAAAAAAAGAAAATACAGTATACAGTTTTCAGTATCTTCTATCGAACTATCTGGCGTATTATATAGGTAGGCCTAGGCTATCTACAGTACCTAACTAACAACACAATTGACAGCGGTTGATTGCATAATATTATCGGCGCTTTGTGTTACGTTCATAATTCGGCCTAGCTTGGTGAACTTCAAATTAAGAAGCATTACTAAAAATAAATTAGAAATTCTATTAAAAAACACTTAACGTAATTGTAAAGCGATTTTATAAATGACATTACTTTCGCAACTGGTTTCAAGTACTACTATTACTACTCTAGTCTAGGCCTGGCCATGTCCAATGCTAAGATTGCTGACGTGCTAGCAGCTGCTAGCTATGCCTACACACTAACGCAAAACAAAACTGTTAATGAGCATTAAAATTTACCAATTCGTATTGTCAACTGTTTTGTTTGTCCGTTTCTTCTTCATCAAAAACGCTCCTCCTCTCCTGTGGAGTGATGATAGTGATTACAGAGCATGCAACGAAACCTTGAAACTTGTTGGACTGAGATGACGTAATGGCCATACTTAGGCCTCAATGAACATCGCAAGTGGGCGGGGCTTAGATTATTATATTAAAAATCATTTTTAAAATATTTGTTTAAAAAAAAAAAACTTCAACCACGTATATGTTAAGAATTTTTACTTCTTTCATAATCAGGAATTCAAATGACTTTATCTTTGTTATTCTTTAAGTGTTATTTATATTACCGAAAATTCGAGGGAGACGTACAGCTTAGCTTTCGAAAAATGGTCTAGGCCTCCTAAGGTCAGCCCCGCCTGGTAGGCCTAGCCTAGGCCTAAGCGCGGGAGATTGGAAAGGAAACCAACTTACCCCGGACTGCTTTCTCTTTTCGTATGCTGTCGATCTCCATTGTTTTTTCTCATTGCCTATCAACTGTCCTGGTCGAACAGGTTTTTTAAATACAGTAGGGATTACCCCCTTTTTAAGCCTTTTGAGGTTGCGACCAGACACCCCAAAGCTGGTTGCCAGTAGACTTCTTGGCTCGAAGTCGTCGGCCGCAAAGTGCTCGCTGCACAGCACTGAATGTACAGAGCCTTGGAAATTCAGTCTTGTTTTTGATACAGCTGCGGCCCATTTCTTTCTTAGAAATTCATCTTTCGGGAACTGATGAATGCTGACCTTATTCGCATGACTGTTACTACATCCAGCAGCCACACACTTAGGCATTGTTTTGGAACAAAGTACTGTATACAGTACTGCTTTCTATGGTTGTTTATCAACAAGTCAATGTCAATACGATACAGTATTACTGTACGTCGTCGCGTGGGTCAGCTAGAGAGCGGCTGTAAAGTTGGGACCGAGTACACGTCATATCCGTTGCAGGTCAACCTGGGGTTAAATTCGGTAGGCGGGGCTTCGAAGCCAAAACTGGCACAAAATATGCTATTAAAAATAAAGCAACAAAGTATAATATAATAGTAATAATTATAATAGTGAGTATTGATAATATAATACTAAACTTATATAAAAATAAATGAACGAAATATAATAACAACATACATAATATAATAATAGATGTAAATAATATAATACTGAACAGACATAATATAATAACAAACATAAATAATACAATACCAAACATGCCTAATATAATAACAAACGTGTATAATATAATACTAAACGTATTAACAATACAGCGATATAATTAACAGCGATATAACAATAACGTAGCCTATATATACGGTATAATACTAAACGTATATAATATAGTAACAAGCGTAAATGATATACTAAACGTACATAATATATAATGAACGTACATAATATAATAATAAACATATATAATATAATAATGAATGTACATAATATAATACTAAACGTACATAATATAATAATATACATATATAATTATAATAATGAACGTACATAATATACTAATAGACGTAAATAATATAATAAAAGGCATATAATATAATATTAATCGTACATAATATAATAAGAAATGTAAATATAATAATACTAAACGTATATCATATAGTAACAGACGTATACAATGTAATAATAAACGTAGTTAATATAATAAAGTAGAGAATATAATACTAAATGTAAATAATATAATGAACGTATGTAATATAATAATAAAAATAAGCCTTTGAACCCTGAATTGTCAAAATTTTCGGGGGTTTCGCCCCCAGGACCCCTTTTGGAACCTATTAATCGAAGCCCGACCACGCCCACTTTGCTTTTGTCGGGGAAATCTGACCCCTCGTCGGGGCACCGCCCCCCCCCCCCCGGAACTTGGAAGTTTAATAACAGTTTTTTTAAATGATGAAGATTATACTAAAAATATAATAAATATTATTGAAAAAATAAAAAATAAAG